CCCCGCCGGGCCCCTCCCGCCCAGCCTCGGACCCGCCCTGCACCGCGGGGACCCCCTTTCCAGCCCCCCGCCAACTCCCTCGACGCCCCCGCGGGGGCGTCCGGGCCCCACAGAGACTCTGACGCAGCGCACTGACTGGCGAGATCAAAACAGCCGCCCGGAGGAGGCTGCCGGAAGTCCCGCCCTCACGCTATGGGCACGCCCGAAGACGCCCCTGTTCTAGCCGCTCATTGGCTCCAAGCTGCTCAGTTGGCGCATTGCACTCTGGGTATTGTAGTTTCCTCCGCCGCCGTGGGCGTCCGGTAGAGTTTCAATCCCGGGCGCCGGGAGACCGCGACTTTAGTTCCCAGCGGCGGTTCCCACGTGTCTCGAGAGTTTTGCCTGCCACCGGCCGCTAGTCTGGCGGCATTATTGCAGACGCCGTGGAGCTCAGGCTGTGTCCCGAGGCGAGAACTCGTGTTTGTGATGACCAGCGGCCACCGATTCTGATTCGCTCTCCCCGGGATGCGTTCGTGACCTTCTGCCCATTCATTCGGATGCACGGAGTCAGAAGCCTCAGTGGATTCTGTATGGTCAGTCGGGAGCAGAATAAAACGCGGGGGGCCAGCTGTTAGTATAGGAAAGATGAATGAGGCTCCGTTAGCCGCGACTGTTTTTGTCCCGATCTAAGGCACATCCTACCCCGGCTGGGAGCTGCAGGCGGACCTGGGAGCTCACCTGGACGAGGGTCCGTCCTCTCCATCGGAGCTGCCTGTTCTCACGGGCAGACTGACAACCCAGCTGCAGAAACCAGAGGCGCCAGGCCTTTGCCAACCCCCCGCAGGCGTTGCCTGTGAACTGTCCCCATTACACCCATTTTGCATGCCCCCTTTTTCTTTTTTTAAATATATTTTATTGATTTTTTTACAGAGAGGAAGGGAGAGGGATAGAGAGTTAGAAACATCTATGAGAGAGAAACATCGATCAGCTGCCTCCTGCACACCCCCTACTGGGGATGTGCCCGCAACCAAGGTACATGCCCTTGACCGGAATTGAACCTGGGACCTTTCAGCCCGCAGGCCGACGCTCTATCCACTGAGCCACACCGGTCAGGGCTATATGCCCCTTCTTATTCCTTTCGCCTACTTCCCCGTGTAACCTTTGTCCTTCTGCCCCATATAAGCAGCTGGCTTATGGAGGGGTGGGGGGCGGAGAGCAGATGTTTGTGGGTGACCTGCTGTTCTCCCATACTGGCCGGCATTACTGGCATAAACGCTCATATTGTAACCGGACCACCAAGGGGTCCGGGCTGCCGGTCACTACTTCAGCCAAATCAGCAGAGACGGGGTTGAATCCTATATGAGCCCTTATTCCAATCCGGCCGGCAGGATGGGGGAACAGCAGGTCATCCACAAACATCTGCTCTGCACCCCACAAGCCAGCTGCTTACATTGGATGGAAGGACGTGATCACATGGGGAAGTAGGAATTACAGGCCTGGGAAAGTGGGCACCGGATAATCATCACAGGTTACAAGTGATGCAGACTGAGGGTGCAGCGGGGGGCCGGGGGGTAGTTACAGAGAGTGTTTACAGGTAATAGGGGCTACGGGGCCCTGGCTGGTTTGGCTCAGTGGATAGAGCGTCGGCCTGCGGGCTGGGGAGGGGGGGGGGGTCCCAGGTTCGATTCCAGTCAAGGGCATATACCTGGGTTGCGGGCACATCCCCAGTAGGGAGTGTGCAGGAGGCAGCTGATCGATGTTTCTCTCTCTTGGATGTTTCTCACTCTCTATTCCTCTCCCTTCCTCTCTGTAAAAAAATCAATAAAAAAATTTTTTTAAAAAATAGGGGCTACGGGTTGTAAAGAGCAGGTGCCTCCAGGACTGGAACTCCGAGGCTGTCCATCTTTCCATGGCGACAGGCAGTTCTGGGAAGGTGGACAGACTGCCTTCCGACGTGAGCGAGGTCCCAGGGCGGACCGCTCCCAGCTGGGTCAGCATGTGCTCTCTCTCCTCAGGACAGAACCATCATGGTTCACAGAGCAGGATCCCTCTTTCTTATCCCTGTAGGTGGTCCCCAACGTATTCAATTTCTGCCCCTCACAGTATACGATTCAACCTTGTCTCTGCTGAATTGGCTCAAGGGGTGAGAGGCAGCCCGGACCCACTGGTTGTCTGGCGGAAAAGATGTAGTCTGCCTTTATGTGGGAGGACAGGAAGCAATCTTTGCCTCCGGTTCCCATAAAAGCCTCTCTCCGGCCCTAACTGGTGTTGCTCAGTGGATAGAGCATCGGCCTGCGGACTGAAGGGTCCCAGGTTCGATTCCGGTCAAGGGCACGGACCTTGGTTTAGGGCACATCCCCAGTGGGGGGTATGCAGGAGGCAGCTGATCTATGTTTCTCTCTCATTGATGTTTCTAGCTCTCTATCCCTCTCCCTTCCTCTCTGTGAAAAATCAATAAAATGTATATATTTTTAAAAATCACTTAGGTCACATGACTGTGGCTCAGTATGTGACCTCTTGACTCTTCCTTAGTGACTATACATAGTGGACAAAGGTAAGTCTCTGCTCCCTTAAAAGTTGGTGTCCTGCCCTAACTGGTTTGGCTCAGTGTATAGAGCGTTGGCCTGTGGACTGAAAGGTCCCAAGTTTGATTCCAGTCAAGGGCACTTGCCCGGGTTGCAGGCTCCATCCCCAGTAGTGGGCGTGCCGGAGGCAGCCGATCCATGATTCCATCATCATTGATGTTTCTCTCTCTCCCCCCTCTCCCTTCCTCTCTGAAATCAATTTTTTTAAAAAAGCAGACATTCCCTCCAATGGCAGCCCAGGCTCTCTCCCCCCGCGGGAAGTGGGCACCGTGAGCAGCCCTGCCTCGAGGGGCCGTGGGAAGATGTAAAGGGCTCAGGAGCCACGGGAGGGGCTGCTCTGGGAGTCCCGGTCTTTCTGGGGGAAGGGAATGGCGGATAGGGAGGCAGTGCATTGGGGAGCTGTCCCTGGGTGAGGAAGTGGGGATTCTGTACCTAAGGGCTCTTCCTGGGGTAGGCAAGTTCATGGGGCTCCCCGCTGTCTCTTCCTGAAGCGATGTTCCCCTCACCCCCCACAAAAAGAGACAACCTGGCCTGAGCCACCCATGCACCATGTTGCTGCCCAAGGGAAGGGACAGCCACACCTCACAGGCCCTTAAATCTTCCGATGGATTTTTTTCCAGCTGCTACCCTCCCGGTGATTTCTAAGTTATCAGGTAGATCAAATTACTTCTTTGTTGAAAAGCTATATCTCTTAGTCACTTAAAAAGTGATTTTCTGTTGCCCTGGCTGGAATGGTTTGATTTTTTTACAGAGAGGAAGGGAGAGGGATAGAGTTAGAAACATTGATGAGAGAGAAACATCGACCAGCTGCCTCCTACACACTCCCCACTGGGGATGTGCCCGCAATTAAGGTACATGCCCTTGACCGGGATCAAACCTGGGACCCTTGAGTCCGCAGGCCAACGCTCTATCCACTGAGCCATACCAGTCAGGGCAAGATATTTTTGTTTGTTTTAGTTTTTTTATTTGTTTTTTTACAAACCCTGTGTCGAGGGCTGCCTTTCAATAGATCGCAGCGAGGGAGCTGCTGTGCTACGTACGAAACCCCGAAGGATATTTTTTTAAAAAAGTGATTTTGTTGCCTGGGCTGGCGTGGCTCAGTTGGTTGGGCATCATCCCGTGCACCAAGAGGTACCAGTTAGATTCCTGGTCAGGGTACATCCCTAGGTTTCGGAGTGGGTCCCCAGTGTGCGTCACGCAGGAGGCAGCCGATCAATGTTTCTCTCTCCCTAAAATCAATAAAAACATATATGAAAAATGATCAATGATTCTATTGATCATTGTTTCCAAGCTGAGGTCATCTCAATATTTTACATAAAGTGGTTCAGTGACCCACTTTCTAGGGACCATTATTTAAGAACTAATTCTGTCAGGTGTTACCTTGGACTTAAAACCACATCCTCTCTTTTATCACACTCAATCTGCAGAAAAAGTTGAAAACAACAACACCATGGCATTCTTAAATGCAAATCAGTTCATCTTTCAGAAACCTTTGAGCTTCCTTGGCCACGAGCCCTTATGGCCATACAGTCCTCTCGCTCAGGGACAACTGAGTTATTCCTCCTTTGAACTACAAACGGGAAGACCCAGGCTTCCAGAAATTTCACCGCCGATGCCAAACTGCCAAGAGCAACCAACCAATGTGTCTCTCTCTCTCTTCCTATCCCTTCCTCTCTGAAATCAATAAAAATATATATTTTTAAAAATACACAAGAAATATCGAACCGCCAAACCGGTTTGGCTCAGTGAATACAGCGTCGGCCTGCGGACTGAAAGGTCCCAGGTTCAATTCTGTTCAAGGGCATGTACCTGGGTTGCAGGCACATCCCCAGTAGGAGATGTGCAGGAGGCGGCTGGTCGATGTTTCTCTCTCATCGATGTTTCTAACTCTCTATCCCTCTCCCTTCCTCTCTGTAAAAAAATCAAAATATATTTTTTAAAAAAGAAATAGCGAACCAACTATGTAAAACATTAAACCTTTAATAAGCCATTTTTCAGTGAGCACAGAGGTGAATGGTATACTCAGGTCGACTTAAACACACACCATCTAATAGAAGCCACACAACGCTTGTCGGTTGGGTTGGGTCCATTCTCTAGTCAGAGTCAAAGGAATGAGGATGCTGCCAAAGGCTCAGAGTATTACAACTTCCTCAAGTAGAAGGAACACAGTGCCTGGCAGGTGTGGCTCAGTGGATAGAGCGTCGGCCTGCGGACTGAAAGGTCCCAGGTTCGATTCCGGTCAAGGGCCTGTACCTTGGTTGCGGGCACATCCCTAGTGGGAGATGTGCAGGAGGCGGCTGGTCGATGTTTCTCTCTCATCGATGTTTCTAACTCTCTATCCCTCTCCCTTCCTCTCTGAAATCAATAAAAAATATATTTAAAAAAAAGAAAAAAGAAGTGACAGAGGTAATCCTCCCCGTACTTTAGCCACAAAAATGGACATCAGTCCGGTATTAGCCCTGGGCAGCTTAGAAAATGCAACGCAGCTCATTGGAGGTGCACTGGTGCCCGGCCAGCGACTCAGTGGGTAAGCGCTGACCTGTGCACCAGGAGGTCAGGGCACATGCCCAGGTGGCTGCATGGATCCCCGGAGGGTGGAAGGGTGGCGTCCAGGAGGGAGCCGATCAATGTTGATATTTCTCTCTTCAATGTTCCCCTCTCTCTCCTTTCCTGTCTCTAAAGTCAATAAAAACATTAAAAAAAAAAAAAGACGCACTTGTGTCCTGGCCAGTGTGGCTCAGTGGACAGAGTGTCTGCCTGCGGATTGAAGGGTCCCAGGTTCGATTACAGTCAAGGGCACATGCCTGGGTTGTGGGCTCGGTCCCCAGTAAGGGGGCGTGCAGGAGGCAGCCGATCAATGATTCTCTCATCATTGACGTTTCTCTCTCTCCCTCTCCCTTCCTCTCTGAAATCAATAAAAAATATATATATTTTTTTAAAAGATGCACTTGTACCTGAAACTGTTGAAAGATCTAGCACAATGTATGTTCCACTAAAAAAATGTTTAAATTCAGATGAAGAGTTCTCAAAGAGTCTCCTCCAGTGCTGCTGCACTGAGTGAGGAAATAAACCATCCCCTGCACATGTAAGGACGTTCTCCACCCTGAACTCTCTGGGGTTTAAAGAGGTGGGATTTGCAGCAAAAATATCTCCCACACACACTACACTCATAACGTCTTTTCTCCTGTGTGAACTCCCTGGTGTTGAGGGAAGCCAGATCTCTCGCTAAAACATTTCCCACATCTGCCACACTCAGAGTTTTTTTGCCAAATGAACTCAGTGGTGTCAAATCAGGCAGGGGTGTTGTCTAAAGAATTTCTTACGTTCACCACCTTCATGGGGCTTTTCTCCAGGATGGATTCTCTGGTGAATAGTGAGGTTGGATCTCTACCTAAAACCTTTCCCACAAACTCTGCACGCATGTGGCTGTTATGAGTGTTTACTCTCTGGTGTTCAGTGAGCCTTGTGCTTCGGATGAAGGACTTCTCACAACATCTACACTCAAGGCTTTTCTCTAGTGTGAACTCGCAGGTGTCTAATGAGGTGGCATTTGTAGCTAAAAGATTTCCCACATTCATTACACTGATAGGGCCTTTCTGTTGAGTGCACACTCAGGTGTGGAAGGAAGCTGGAGGTATTGCTGAAAGATTTCCCACGTTGGTCACACCCTAAGGCTTTTCTTCAGAATGAACGCGAAGGTGTTGAATAAGGTGGGAGTGTTGCCGAAACGATTTCCTACAGGCACTACACTCATACGGCTTTTCTCCAGTGTGAATTCTCTGGTGATTAACGAGGACACGTTTGATACTAAAGCATTTCCCACAATCACTGCACTCATATGGCTTTTCACCGGTGTGAACTCTCTGGTGTTGAGTGAGGGCAGAGCGTTGGTGGAAGGACTTCCCACAGTCACTGCACGCGTAAGGCTTTTCTCCAGTGTGAACTCTCCGGTGATTAATGAGGATACATTTGTAGGTAAAGCATCTCCCACAATCCCTACACTCACATGGCTTTTCACCAGTGTGGATTTTCTGGTGTGTAAAAAGGGCGAGCTTTGGCTGAATGACTTCCCACAATCACTACCCTCGTAAGGCTTTTCTCCAGTGTGAACTCTCTGGTGTATGCGGAGGTTGCATTTGAAGCGGAAAGATTTCCCACATTCGCCACACTCAAAAGTGCGTTTTCCAGAATGAAGTCTTTGGTGTTGACCAAGGTGCGTGCGCTGTCTAAAGCGTTTCCCACAAACACTGCACGCACACGGTTCTTCTTCAGGGTGACCGCTCTGGTGTTCGGTGAGGTCAGAGTTTCCGCTGAAGGGCTTCTCATAACCCCGACACCCATGAGCCTTTTCTTCGGTGTGAACGCCTCTGTGGTGGATAAGGTTGAAGATGTGTCTAAAGGCTTTTCGACGCTTGCTGCACTCACAAAGCCCTTTTCCAGAACAGACACTTGGCCGTGGAACAAGGTTCTGGTTTGGGCTGGCGGCTTTTGCACATCCTCCTGAACGGAGACGATTTTCTCCGCTGGGAAAGGCCTGCCCGCTCTCACCGCCATCGTGCGGCTCCTCAGGATCACCAGGGGCCCGGTGCTGAAGGCCTGAGGTGGCTGGGAAGCCCTCCCCCACCTTCCCACTGGCAGGAGGCGCCCCTGAGACGCAGCAGCTGCACCTGGTCACAGGCGAGGCCCCGTCCACAGCTCCTTCCTGGGGCTCCTCGGCACTGGCTTCCCGCAGCTGCTGGTGAGGGTTTGCAGGGAAACAGAAGTCTCTCACACGTGCGTCACCAGGGAAGGCTCTCTGCTCAAGGTCTGCGGCCTGGCACTCAGTCAGGGGCCGAACAGCCTTCACGGCCAGGCCACGCCGCTCACAGGGGTGGGTCCTCTGGGCGGCCGGCGCCGTCTCGGACGCCCTCACCGGTGACTCTCCTTCTACAGACACGCTCTGCTCACAAGGCGTCTCGTCATCTTCCGTCCTATGCCAGCAACCTGAAAGCAGATAAGTGCTGAGGAGACGGTTGTGGACTTTGGTCTCAGGGGCAAGTCCCACTGCAAGAGGTTAGACATGATACGCTGGTTTCATGGGGGTGTCTACAAGTGTCAGCCTTGTCCGAGCTGCATGGCTCCGTGGTTGAGCATCGACCTGTGAGCCAGGAACAGTTCAATTCCTGGTCAGGGCACATGCCTGGGTTGTGGGCTCAGTCCCCAGAGTGGGGCGTGCAGGAGGCAGCCCATCAGTGATTCTCTCATTGATGTTTCTTTCTCTCTCTCTCTCTCTCTCTCTCTCCCTTCCTCTCTGAAATCAATAAAAAAAATTTAAAAAAATAATAATAAGGGGCCTAGAAACAGGTTGAAACAGAGGCTCCTGTGCAGCACTGGTCCCCTGAAGATCACAGAAGTGGGTAGACCCCACCGGGAAAGGAATACCGAGATGGCCTGCAGCCCGTGGAACAAGAGCGGGCTCTCCCACTCACTCCCCTAACAGCGTTCAGCAGAGTTTTCTGTTGGTGACCTGGGCAAGCTGTGGAAAAGGGTGATTGTGTCCTTTCCCCAATAAAATGCAATAAATGAGTAGCTGGTACTTGAAGACAACGTAAGGATGTGTGCAAACCTCCTAACACATGCCTAAGTCAAGGGTGGAGAACACGGCAGAAAGACAGGTGGCGTCAGGAGGCCGCAAACATGAAGGAAGCCCGAAGCCTGAAGCCACAGATGAAATGACCAGTCAGAGAAAGTGTCCAGTCCGGGTAAGAAAAGGCAGAAATGAGGTGGGGCCAATGGAACTTGCACCAAAACGCTATTGGACAGAGGAGGAGGGGTGAGGTGCTGTTCTTGGTATGACCCGAACATGGCCCTTACGTCATGCGCAGCCAGGCCTCCTCTGAGACGAGCTTACATGTCAACCCTGTGAAAAGCCAGGGAGCTCCCTGCACCGCCACTGTACGACTACCTGGAACCCCAATGACCCAAGTCTTAATGAAAGACAGCAGAGATGAGCAGCAGCATGGGCCCAGAGCACTTGGCACACACGGGCATTCAGGGAACTCCCTGTTCAGGGCACGCCGCCAGGCTCAGCACTGGCAGGCCCAGCATGTACAACAAGAAAGCTCTGTAAAAAATCAATAAAATATATATATATTTTTTTTAAAGAAAGTGGGTTTAAATGTGCAGAGCCCATGGTCCAGCTGTGGGACACACACAGCTACCCGTGGCATCAAAAGGAGGAGGCAGAACATCACCTCAGGACACCGGGAGAACGGGAGGGTCTTACCCACGGAGGCTACCAGCGCAAAGTTCTCCAGCATCACCTCGCAGTACAGCAGTCTCTGAGCCGCATCCAGGAGCCCCCAATCCTCCTGGGAGAAGGATGGCCACG